GATGGGCTCCTGCACTGGGGGGGACACCTGGGGAATCTGCAATAGGAGTGCAGAGACAACTTGAAGAGGGATAATCTTGCAAAGCAGAAGCCTTCTCCTCACTCTCCAGGAGCTACAGCTCATCTCTAGTTTGTCCCAGCCCAGAGCCACAGCAGCAGTACTGAGCTTACCCCCAACATTCCAAAGGGAATCATGGAATCATTCAGCTTGGAAAAGCCCTCTAAGATCAGTGAGTCCAACCATTAACTCAGCACTGCCAAGGCCACCACTAAACAATGTGCCCAAGTGCCACATCCGTATGTCTTTTAAATCCCTTCAGGGATGCTGATTTCACCACTGCCCTGGGCAGTATGTGCCAGTGCTTGACAACCCTTTCCATGAAGCAGATTTCCTAATATCCAACCTAAACCTCCCCTGTTGGAACTCGAGGCCATTTCTGTTTGTCCTTGGGACAAGAGCCAAACATCTGTATGGCTGAACCATCTGAGCTGGCAGTACCAGCCTGAGGCACAGCTTGCCCTGCTGGCAGCAGATACTCAGGTATTAAGCCACAGAGTGTCATCTCACACAGGAAACTTGGCCTTTGAGTGGAGTCATACGAACCTTTCGGCGTACGTGACGTGAATTCTGTGTCAAAATAAAAGGTGTCATCTGGCTGTCCCACTGCAGGCTTGAAGGGAGGTTTGATTTCCCTGCGGTACAGTTTCTGCAAAACACAGACCATTCAGCCAGGTAAGTGCTCTGGAGGGTGCAGAGGGTGTGAGGAACAAGAGGCAAGAAGAGATTTTGTGAAACTTTGTGGCTTAGCATTTAGCTACAGCTCAACAGCTTGAGGGAGGATGTTTTGGCCAGTGCTGTGCTTTTGAGTCAGTTTGTGGGGAAACACTACAAGTTCTACCATATATTAAATCATGTAGGTAAGTCTTCTATAGGCAAGTTGCCTCCACTCCAAACACAAAGTATTATCCATACTGACATGACATATACATTATCCATAAAGTGTTTTCCTCACCAGGCTCTTCCACCTCCTCCTAATTCCCATTAGGGCTTTGCTTTGTATCTCCCCAGGGATGGCCAGAGGAGACACCTTAGGAGGACATTTGTATCCCAAAACTCCCAGAAGTGTTTTTCCTCCCTTTTTTAATCGCTTCTCGAAGCAAAAACTGGACATAGCCTTTACTGGCATTGCTGGAGGGTCAGTCCAGCAACTTGTTGGGGGCCTTGGAAGGATTGAAGTAATCCTCAAATCCCTGACCAAGTAAAGGAAAACAGGGAAGAAACAATATTATGTGGTAAAGTAGGGAGTTGGCCAGAAGCAGTTGGGAAATGCCTGTTCAGTGACTGCCCTGCTTCTCTGACAAAACAGGGTCTTTCCTTGCCAGGAATGTTTCCCTGATTCCTCTACATTTTGTGCAAGACAAACCTTGTTGTGCCAAACCCCAGTGAAAACTCACTGCTGAGAGATGAGTCCATTCAGACCTGGGTGAAGCGACAGCCAACCCTGGTATGAAACAGCTACATCACTTTAGCTTGAGGAAGGATTACTGGAATGGATGGGGACAGGGGTTGGAGGT